TACTAAAATGGTGCAACATAGGAAATTAATACAAAGAAGACCTATTGTGATATAAACTTAACACATCACTAATGGTAATAGTAAGTGAAAAGGGGAGGGTTGGGGCTCAACTGAATAGGGACAAAAAATGAGCATATCCAAATCTTGCTTCTTTAATTAAGCTACTCTATACATATACTGTGGCCAGAATTAATAGTTTTAATTTTGCATTCCGTTTGTTTAGCTAATTTTCGGGCCCACTTGTAAAGACTGGGAGAGCATATCCAACATCAAAAACTTCCAATATTAATTTCCATTTACTCTGCCCCTGCCCAGATCTACCTTGTAAGTCTTCTCAATCACAGGTGCAAAGGAGATGTGCACAAGAGCTATAATAAAGATTTAGGTTAGATTTTATAGGTCACAAAAACCTGAACAATAATTTCACCTTATATCTGAGTAGGCTGCACTGTCATTAATTGTAAGGCATATCTCATTGATACCACACCAGTCAATGGCTAATAAAGAATGTAAGGCAATAGCTTACTTTAGAGCCAATATGGTATTTTCATATACACACTGCACCACTTAACCCAGTAACGACGGATGTCCCACATATGAGACACCCGAAAAAATAAACATTGCCGAGCTGTATCAGTTCCAACACAGCAGCGGGCCGATGCCAGCGGGCAGGCAGAGTCTGGGGCAGCCCCGCCTGTCGATTTTGTAGCTGCCCGGAATCTTTTATTTTTGACTTCAAAATATACCGGTTAATGGGTTAATAGACTGTGTGATTTTAACAAGAAGTTTCTTTGCCATTTCTATCACAATTCAGCAGTCAATGAGCCATAATAGATTTAATTAGCATTGGCCAACTCCAACTTAAGAAATATTCTGAAAATCTGATAATGGTGACCAACTTCATCTACAATAGTAATCTGGTATGGCAAGTACGATTTAGGTTACAATACAGGCCTTACTGGGATAAGTTTTGCAGCTGTTTGGTAAATCACACTCCTTGAGCATCGCAGGCATGCAATGGCCTGCAGTTGAAGAACTTGTAAAATCACTTGTATATTAACTGAAAAGAACTGCCTGGACTTGCTTTACAGAAAAAAAGAAACTAGTAAAGAAACCAGTTAATCAATTAAACATATTTTCTATTCAGAGCCAAACACATAACAAGAAATAATAAGTACAGTTACTTTAGTCACTTTTACATCACCATTACATACATATATTTTTTAAATCACTTACAAGGAACTGTAGGTGAATTATTGTAAATTAAGAAATGTTATCTAGGATTCTAAGAACTAAGAAACTAATGACAAACTAGTGTGAGTTTGGAACACAATATGAAATTTGCCTTTTAGTGTGCATTTCCCTTATCAAAAATAATAAAATACTTTGCTATTCCATATCAAGGCGTGCAATAAATCGCACTTCTCGGGAAAGGGAGGTGTGTGCCAAGGCATGCAAGAGTGATCGCACGCCATTCCCAGTAAGGCCTGGATTACCTTAGTTTTAGCACGTTAGTTTATGTTAAGATTCCATACAGTCAAATTCTGTGCAAATGATGCCAAGAATTAATGGAATCAGATGGTTCTCTGATAGGCACTGTATATATCTGGAAACTTTTTCTATCTAACAGATGGTCTCAATTTATTTCTTTGATTCTGCATATTGGCAACAGATTATGTGTATGTAAAATCTGACCACGTAATATGGACTTTGGTTGCAATGACCGCTATGAATTTTAATAGAAATCTTGTAGAGTGAATTAATCTATATAAACATGCTTATACAAAGCCAATAAAAAACAAAATTTATATACTATTACTGTAATAGGATGATGCATGTAAATGGCATTACCTGGAAGGTAATTCTTTCAAAGACAAATGTGTCTATTTTCCACTGAAAAATACTATTTTCTAAGAGAAATATATGTGTACTGTAGATATACTGTGATTTCGAATAATGCGCCCGTCACAGACTTCCCCCACTCCAGCCGACAACGTTGGGGGATCCCGTGGGGATTTTTTCTGATAATGGGCGTTTTAAAGAGCAAAAGAAAGTGGTAAATGAAAATCTCTTAATAATTGCATTTCATACGATAAAGTCCACAACACCATCACACAGCCAGAGTTCTTAATGTCTATTTTCTATAGATTGGCACAAATTGCTAATAAATGAGGGGTAAAGATTAGGGATATAGAAGGTAGGAAAGGCTAGTTAGGTGTTTGGGTTCATATGATACCCTGGTTTTGGGACTTCGTCTCTGGAGGGTGCGTTGCTCTTGGTAACAGCTACTGGTGTTATAATTTTGTTCAAGGATTCCCTACCAAAGTACACTACATATTCAAATCTATCTGAATTAACACACATGGCCAGTGAGACTTTTTCCACCTTCTCCTGCAGATCTGTTTTCCTCTTAAACAAATCATATATACATATTTTTAAAATCCCGTGGATATTGTTCTGGCACCGGATTTTATATCAGTTTGGCTATTCCTCCGGCATACATGCGCACTAACTACTTGCGTGCAAACACATAATTGTCCATTAGCCTTGCAAACTTTGGCGCTGTTTTTGTGTTGTTCATTGTTCATGGCTAAGGGTTGATCATCGATTATGGATTCCTTCAAAGTTGGAACTGAATTTGTCAGTTTTGCTGATGTGAAGGACAGCTTGACCAAATTTCAAGAAAGCACTTTCGCACAGTTTTATGTCAAAGATTCAAGGACTGTTGCTGCAGCTTTGAAGCGTATACCTGATAAGAAAGTAAAGCCAGAGTTGAAGTACTCCTACTTAATGTTTGCCTGCATCGGGAAATACGGCAATTAGGAGGGGGTCCATGGGCAAAGCCCCCGATAAGGAAATACGGCAATCGGGAGGGGTTAGGAGGGATTTTTGGTTCATACGGTGATCCTACTGGTAGTTTGTACGTTTAAGATGCGGTTCACTCGCTCGTTCGCTTACGCAACACCAAGTCGAATCATCCGTGGCCGAACCTTCTCACGGGTTCCTACATTTTTCACTTTCTTTATCATCTGAGATGTTATCCTTGGCTCTGATTTTCAATTTCCCATATTCTTTAGCTTTTTAAAATGCAGCCTTCCGACAAAAAACGCCGAAAGAATATCCCAGCAGAGTCTCAATCCGACTATGAATATTGCGTGAAATGACAAAGGCAGAATTATGGACAGTGCGCAAGCGCGAGTGTATGCCGGACAAATAGCCAAAATGTTATAAAATCCGGTGCCGGAATAATATCTGTGGCGTTTCTTAAAATCCAACCTCTGCCATAACAAAATGCATGTGATGTATATTTAAAATAATACATATTTGTTGGCCTTTACCAAAGTGCAACGTGCAGAGGCCACATGAATTACTTGACACTACCATCATCGGTTTTATCACTTACAAAGAATATCTAAATTACGTGAAAACCACAGAAAATTGTCTGATGTGGATGCCGTAATTAATTTGGTTTATCGACTCCATGCCCTCTTTACCTTGTGTGTTATAACGAGTGCCTGATGAAAGCTTATCCCAACTATCGCTGACTAAGACAAAGTGAATTTCTCTCTTGGGAAAGTTTAAACCATAAAAAAAAAAAAAAAAAAAAAAATGCACTCATAAGCAAGTCTTGAAAAACTACTTTCTATTTGACCAGTTAGAAGAATTATAGAGTTCTTAAATAGCCTCGGAAACCTGAAAATGAGGGACATCACAGACATACCTTGTTAATGCTTTCTAAACTTACAATTCACGTAAAACTAACTTGTTATTTACTCTTATGGAACAAACTGGACGATCGCCGGTCCATGCAGTAACGCCAACACTTTTTGTTTTTTTTCAATTCATATCTACCTTTTAGTAAGAAAAATCTACCAAGCTAAACTTTTCAATAACTTTATATTTTTATAAATTATAATCATGAAACTGAGAATGTATCTACTAAATTTCAATATATTTATAAGTTGATTTTCGTTTCTCTTTGTTGTTGGTATCCCTGGTTGAGGTAAACACTGAATAAAAGAACGCCAAGTTGCGCATACAAGGATTATTTCTTAATTTCTAACTCTGTTCTCCAATTTTTCAACCACTCATTTCACTTATTTCTCTTCTATAAATATTCGAAGTAATAATGTGTAAATCGGCAGTAAGTGACAGCATCGAATAAAGGCTTTAACATCTGAAATATGCGAAATATTCCGACAACCAACAAGTGTCAACCTGGAGTGTCTGCCATTTTCAAATCATTTAACGTTTAAATCCCCTTGATTTACTCCATCTGGCCCATATCCCCAGTACGATAGCAATTATCAAGAAAAACAGACTTAAAAGTTGTGAATTGTCATGGGCGGAGTGTCGTGACGTCATGCGTTTCTGTGACGTCACGCGATCAGCTGTTGCTCCGAGGGATGACTCGTTAGCGTAAACAGGGGTCAGTGTGAGTCTGGCAGTGGGAGAGGGAGGTGTTGTTCGATGTCGCCAGTGGTTTTGGCGTTTTGTCATGTGTCTTTTGATGGTTCAGTGATTCGAGGTTTGTGAGTGACGTCGAGATCAGGTGGTGATTTCCGATCGGTGGATGCGTCGCGTAGTGTAGTCGTTTCCGCGGAGTGTGCCCGGGCGGAGGAGCCAAGTTTTCCCCATGTTGAGGAGCCTGAGGTCCCTGGACGAGAAGACCCGCCAGTTTTTCCATTCCAGCTCGGAGTCGTACAAGCGGCCGCCCTACAGCAGCTTGGGGGCGAGCTCGGGCCAGGGCGCCACGTACGACTGGATTTTCCGGGGGTCGGGGGCGAATATGCCTCCTCTGGTGCGGCCTCACGACCCTTCTGCGGCGGCGGCGGCGGCGGCGGCCTACCTGATGGGCTCTCCTGAGGGCGATGTGAAGACCAAGCTCAAGTGCGTGCTGGTGGGCGACGGCTCCGTGGGCAAGACCTCGCTCGTCGTCTCCTACACCACCAACGGCTACCCCACGGAATATGTGCCCACGGCCTTCGACAACTACAACG